TCACATCATAAGGTGGGACCAAATACTGTCACTTACTGTAGCACAGTGGAGTATATGCAAATGATTTCATGTAAGATACATAGTACTGATGATGAAAAGCAGTGATTGGTCTTGCTCCTAATTCAAACAGAATTGAGCTAGCTTCATCTTTGAGCAGCTCTATGATTGATGCATAATGCCTGATTTCAACAAGTGGCTCCTTTAGCCTATAATTAATGTCATTAGATATACCTACTTCTGTGACTACACAGCGTTATTTCAAGATGTCTTCCCCTCCTGTTGTTGAGTCAGTGTTGAATGCCTTTAAAAAAAAACATATTTCTTTATTGATCGTCCTACTACAAAGTTATTCATCACTTTATCTCCAGCTCAACTTCCAACTGCTGCTCATTTAACTACATCCAGTGTCAGTTCTTTAATTCTGTCCCTGCGATTGTCTTCACATGGCCGGTTTACTGCACAACCTTTACAGTCTGATGGATGTGGAAAACTTTCAGGCAGAACTGGGCCGAAAGCCAAACTGGGACACAGTCAGAGTGTGTGAGACGGGAGTGGCAAGGGAACGAGGGACGGAGGAAGCATGCGAGGTCATACAGTGGAGGGAAAATAAAGTGAGCGCTGGTGATTACAATAAGCGCACAAGTCACAGTTGAACAGTCATATCAGTGAGCTGCAGCCTTTCCCCCTCCTCCCCTCCTCTGCCTCTGTGGAGTTAAACAAACCTGAGCCAGGGAACAACAGCTCTGGACATTACGGGTCATTTAGTACAAGTGTTCACAAAAATATATATTCTAATCAACCTTAAATTTAGTTTAAAAAACATTCATTTACAAGGTGATTGATCTCTTGTTGCCTCGTGCTTTAACAAGAGTCAGTTCAGTTGACATGAGCAAAGTTCATGTTTAGAGTTTTTATTGTACACATCAAGATTTATGTGTGTATCATTTACTATGAGAATAACCATTGAGATCGTCACCTAAGTAAAAATGACAAGACGATATAGCATGCATGCTACTTTTACTTATGGTGAAGCACAGCATAATCTTCAAGAACAGCTTGAAATAGTCATGTTTGCTCAGAGCAGGATTAGCCAATCAGAGATTTAATCTCCAGCACACACACACACACACACACACACACACACACACACATCCCCAGGTCCCCAGGACAAACAATCCATGCATTTTATCAGGGATATGAAGAAAAACCTGTTCAATTAAACCTGTAGATGCCACATTAATACATATAACCAACTGAAAAATTGACATGACTGTATAAGTGAATTGAGAGGAAGTAAGAAAAAATTTAAATGAAAGTCAGACTAGATCAGAAAGAAAAGTCTGCTGCAGATGAAGCACAAAATAAATCCATATATGATCGATTGCACAGTCATTCTGAATGTCACAGAAGTACAATGATTCCCTCTGTGACAATCCAACAGCCATTTGAGACTTTATAGTTTACTTATTATTCACATCAGAGAGCCCAAAACCTTTTCTCGTAATGTATTTCTTACTTAAATAAGATAAGATCAACTTAATTGACCCCACGGAAAATGTGGTTTTTACAACAGCTCAAACAAGGAGGAAAATAGCAAAAAGTTAAAAAAATAAATAAAAATAAACAGGAGCGCCCATAGCCTATTGGTAATGTTGTGTACGCCATGTACGGAGGCTCTAGTCCTCTTGAGCTTGAGTCCGACCTCGGGCGCATAATCCCCCCCTCTCTGCTCCCAACATTTCCTCTCTCTCTTTAGCTGTCGACAGAGGATTAGGGCCACGTTAAAAACATTAAAAAAATTAATTTACGAGAATAAACTCGTAAATTTATGAGTTTAATCTCTTAAATTTTAAATCTCTTAAAGTTTAAACTTCTGTAGCACACCCACGATATGCCGTAGCCTGCGGTAGCACAGTAGTGCTAAGGTGCTAATGTTTATGCTCCCCTCGGATGGAGCCAGTGGCTGCATTCCCAATATGGTAAAAGAGGCGGGACATTTCCGAGAACCGTGCTGAGCGACTGACCAATAACGACTTGGCCCACGTGGGGCTCTGCAGTGGGGGCTCAATAGAGCGTAGCTGACGGACTCAGAGCATAGAGGGAGCAAGGAGGAGCAGTACATGAAAACAGACACTTTTTTCGGAATTTATCTATTGTGAACGTACAAAAGTAGGAACATAGATTAAATATGCAAACCCCAAAAAGGGCATAATATGCTCTTTAAAGACAAAAATGCCCTTTTTTTGTTAAAATTTAAAAACAAACATTTTTAAAGTAATTCAATATTAAGAATAATAATACTGTGGTGGTAAAATAGTACTAGAAATATACACTATGTAACCTTTCACTTTTACAAACTGAGGTATATCATTCATCCTGACTCAGAACAATACTGACATTTAAACACAAGCTCAACACAGACCTACCTCAGAGGCAGACAAAATAACTATTTCTGAACATTTTAACATTCCTCCAGGCAGAAAAAGATTTTATTTGAGGAAAAAAACAAAGGCGATAGAACATCCTGTAATATAAAATGAATGGAGCCGTGCAGTAAAGGGACATGGACTGGAAAAAAATAAAGGAAAAAATAGTTTCTAGATGGCGTCAGAAACCCATTCTCTCAAGAACATTTCTTAGTGGACTCGTGAGAACGTTTTGTGTGTTAATAAGAAAGATTTCTGTGCTCTTGAGAAGGTGTTGAGTGCCCATTAAGAAAGTATAGCATGCACATGTGAAACTCTTTGGGCTATCTTACAGAGAAGCTAAAAGACAAAATGGCAGAAACTTTCAAGGGCACACCAAAAGTTTTCTAGTAATCAAGAGAAGTTTTCTTGTGTGCACACAATATTGTTTATGTGAGCAATAGAAACTAACAGAAAACTATCTCACGCTCACGGGATAGTTAGTGGGACGCACAAGACAGTTTTCCATGCACACCTGGAACTTAATCTTCTTTTTAATGTCTTCTGCCGATGCCAAAAAATGTGATGGATCATGACATCTTTCAGCTCTTGTCAGAAATTGTGCCTGACCTTTAACCCAAAAACAATGAATCACACATGCTTCCATTTCTTTAAAACAAGCTTCTAAAATCCTTCATGACAGAATCCTACAAATGTCTATGACATGTGCTTGCAAATGTTTCTGCTCACTCAAGTTGACAGAGTGTTGATCACATTACTTTGGTTCTGTGATTAAAATAGTTTGAGGCTCTGTGACCCTGACAAATGGGAGTTGCAAAACCTGCTGTAAGGGGCCTTATAATGCTGCCCTGGCTCTGCTCCAAAGCTTTCCTACATCCTTGAAGAGTTTGGATGAAATCCCTTGAAGGGGTGGTTGGGTGGAAGCAAGAACATGGTCAGCTGCCATATCTGTGCAGGAAAACAAAAAATACTAAGAAAGTGTATAGCCATGAAAGTAAAGGAGTGTGACAAGTTTCCGAGTCATTTGTCCAATAAACGTACCTTCACACCCCTCCCTCATGGAAGTGTTGTCCTACTCAAAATCCATCTTGGTCTCGATACCACTTTTTGAAGGTCTCGGTCTCGTCTCGGAATCAAAAGCATTTTTATTCGGTCTTGTCAAGACCAGTCAAGACCCCCACTGACAGGTTATTTTTCTACTTCATTACTTTGATATGAAGGAAAACACCCTTTTCAAGAACAAAAAACATTGCAACCTTCCCAGTGTTACGGTCCAAGTGAGTGACATGCCTGCTGTACCCACCAGATGATGATTTGTCTGTGATATTTATAATCTTTGCTTGTCTCGGTCTCGCCCTGCCTCGGTCTTGGTCTTGACTCAGTCTCGATCCCTAAATGTCATGGTCTGGTCTCGGTCTCGAAGCACTCTGGTCTCGGTTAGTTTGGTCTTGACTACAACACTACCTCATGGACATGGACACACAATGTGCATCCTGGGAAGAACACCATCCAATGAATCATTCCCTGTATATCCAGCAGGGGGAGACAAAGGCACTCTTAATGCTCAGTGGTGGTGCAGCAGTGTTCCAATATATTAGATTAGATCTTGGTCTCTGGTTTTCTAACTCTGTACCTTTGTGTAATCTGTGCATGTGTGTGGCAGGTGTTTCTCAGTGGACATGATTAGAAAGTGTTAACATTTTATTTTAATCTATTGACAGAGAATTCCATCATGTGGAGATGTGTCATCATGGATGAATTCAGGGCTGATTGAAACAATAGATTACACATGAGCCAATTTCCACCATATTAGTACACGTTTCTAGATTTGTAATATGAAGTGCATGGTGCAAAAAAAAACACATCATAATTGATGTAAAGCAAACATCCACATTACTGCAGAGGAAGCCACTTAGAGTTAAATCATTAAAGGGGCCAGAGCGGCTGGTGTTGTAAGACTGGACAGCATTTAGATGTCGAGGACTCTCTCTGCTTTTTTTTTCACCTTTGTTGCCATGGTGATCAGCTGAATAAGGAAGTGCCTAAAAAACAAACAACAATTACTTCTGATTTTCCTTGTGGGAGTCTTTTTCGACATTCATTGCACCTTTTCGGAGTTGAACTCAGTTCCAAAAATCTGAGCAAAGCCCGCGGGACGCTTGCTGGTTCTGAACCTTTCCTTCCCTCAATTGTTCTGTGTCATGACACGGCTCGTTTCAGTCGTAATGACAGTGTTCACATCCATTGACTCGCATGCCCTGCATGTACTATCACATGTTGACAGCTGTTTACTAATAATCAAAACACATTTTCAAGGTTCTTCTTGGACACACCTTACTTCCTTGCACGCGTTATACAAAACCAGGCCTGAAGAGAGCAGTAATTAAAATGAAGTTACATAAAACCCATCATGCATTCAGATTGAGCTCTGGGACACAAAGAAGTTTCCATCCAAAATGTGTTTGTGTATGAGAAATTATCTTATCTTAAACTGAATGTGAAGAGTTTTTACATGTTATGGTGCAGTTTTCATTCTGATGCCTTTATATGACTGAATGAACCATCAAGTACAAAACTGGTTAAATAGGTTTTATTTTGAATGATTGATATCTGACCACAATCTAACAAAGTGATTTGTTGAAAGATAAAGTTGTTGTTTCCAAGTGTTCACATAGTTTCAGAATAAGCAGCAAATGAAAAGTTGGCAGGTTAAAAAGGTAAAATACCCTTTTTTGGTCTACAGGGGTCGCCAAAATTAACACAACATGAAAGTAGATCTATACATTGATGTAGAGGTCATGATGAAGTGCCATAGGTGGAGTTAACGGGTCTGTTGGTTAAAATTCAATCTCTTCTCATGTGGGTTGCAAGTTTTCCTGAATAGCTACAGGATCAGGCTTCTTTCTTCTTCTTCTTTTTAACCAAACACAAGTAAAGAACCTTAGAATTCAATCTTCACAATTAAATCCACCTTCAGTTTAAACATTGTTCATCTTGTCTTTTCTTGTAATTTTTTTGTTTTCATGGCAGCATGTTCCCGCTGTTTTGGTTTCATTTGATCTGTTTATACTGCTGCTTGATTGGTGTGAACATAAAAATAGTTTAATCAGCCAAAATGGTTCTTTTCGAAACCCAATTCAAACACTTGCTAATAAGCTAAACTAGTTAAAAGATGAATCAAATAAACTGTGTTTCGTGCATTAAATACCCTACAGTCTCAAGTCTGCTTTGAGAATGGGTTGGATTTGGATGTCACCAAAGATTGGATTTATGACAAGTAAGACTCAATGGATTTCCATATTTTTTTTTGTGTTAAGTTAATTTAAGCAACAATTAATACACACAAATATTTCCCAATTTTGTCCTTCTCTGACTGAGTTTTTAGATCATAAGAAACTTAACAGTGAAACTTCAAGAGTGGAGCTCTTTCAGCGCTGGATGTTAAAATACTGTAAGGAAGAAATAATACAATCAGAGGGAGAATAAACTCACAATATATAGAAACTAAACCTGTTTTTTCACTGGGTGGCACAATTTATTTGGTTAAATGACAGGAGTCTGGTCTGAAGTGAATCCAAGCTATATGTCTTAAAGATTATTTTGTCCAGTTTGACGCAAACATGTTGGCTCTGTGTGTATCACCTTTAGCAATGTTTTAGAACCACAACTGGGAAGTTTGAATGAAACAATACAAACCACCATTTTCTTCCATGCCAGACAAGTACGGCTGGAACTGCAGACAAAAAGATGTCTGATGTTAAAGGTCTGCCAGATACGCTAACCCAGATCCAAAGATGGACTATTTCTACAGGCTAGTTACTGTATTCTATTGTCTGAAACTGCGGTAGCCCTTAAACAAGGAGATTAAGCATGCAGCAAAAACAGGCTATGTTTACATGTTTTTCATCAAGAATCACAGTTAGTGATACAACTGTTACTAACTTCTTTCAAGTACGATCCAACTCTAATAATTGAGACAATATTCAGAGGTTCCTTTTTGAGGGACTGTGATACTCCCCATCAATCAGTTTTTCCAACAAAACTCAGAATATACTCAAATATTTACAAAGAAAAAAAAGTCACTGAGCATTTTAAAATCAGTTACTCTGCCTTCCTTTTCCGTCTTGACTTGCAGAGAATCCTGCAGAATGCAATTAATGCCCAGGCAAAAGCGACAATGATAATGATGAAGAAAACAGCCACATCTAGACAGAAATAGGAGTACCAAGGCATACTAAAACCTGCTGACTGAAGATGGGCGGCCCTTTTGTTCCTTAGGACATACTCAATCCAAAAAATGGCGGTATCTATTGGTGATATTGGCAGGTCCCGATGCAGCATTGAAAGTCGCTGCATGTTGTCACGGTAGGAAGGATTGTTAAGGACATCCTTTAAAGTCTCTAAGAAGCCTTCCTCTGTAAGTGTTCTTGCCTCAACGTGTTGAGCTGCCCCGCGGACCTTAAGTCGGTGAACATTGTCAAACTGGTCAAAGAGAAGGGGCAGGCCTACAACAGGAACGCCATGGTAAATGGCCTCATACATGCCATTGGTGCCACCATGGGCTACAAAGGCACGAGTCTTGGGATGGCCAAGGAGGTCGTTCTGAGGGAGCCAGTTCACCAAGAGCGTGTTGTTCCCCAAGGATGAAGGCTTTTCACCAGCAAACTTCCACACCACCTTCTGAGGGAGCTGAGCAAAAGCTGCAGCAATTGCGTTTGTGGCCTCACGAGACAGGACTGAAACGAACGTCCCAAGGGACATGACTACCACTCCATGCTCCCCAGAGCTCTGCATGAAGGCCTCCAGCTCAACAGGGAGGGGATTAGCCTTCTTGCACTGGAACCCCCCTATGTAGACCACATTGGGCATTGTGGGGCGAGGGAACTCAAAAACAAAATCTGTTCTAATCAACCAGAGATCAGCTGCATACTGCATAGACAACAAGTCAGAACCAGGTGGGTAGTGCCGCTGGAGCAGATCTGAATAATGAGGATTCAGTATAAAGTGCAGCTGATAAAAGCTTTGTAGATAATGTAAAATATTCTTGGTCCTTTCCAGAAAATTCATTTGATCATGAAGTTCACTTCCAGGCACCGGTACATAGGACAGAGGCGAGGGAGCTATGGTGAAATGGGCCTCACCAGTATTAATCCAGCGAACGTTAAAAACCATTGGCAGCTTGAGGTAACTACCCAACAGAACCCCTATAGTCAGGGCAGGGTCTGTTAACATCAGGTCAAACTTGGCATCTTGCAGCTCCTTCATAAAAACAGTGTCATCTAACATTTCAGCAGTTGCTCCTGCAAGGATTTTGTGGCCCATATCCAACATGGATCCTATTAAGTTGTTTTGACAGAAGGTGCGTATAAAGGGCATCGACTTGCGGCATTCCATAACATCTAAAAGCATTCGATTGTAGGCATTCTTGTCCGTATCATCCTCCATCATACGTCTAGTAATTGATGTGAAAAATGTAGAGTTTTTAGGGATGTACCAGCTCTTGGCAGAGTACAGGACAGTGATATCATGGCCTCTGGAGTGCAGCTCTTTGAGGAGGACCTCCATATTGAGCCAATGGCTGCCATCAACAGGTACTACCAGAATCCTGCTGCCATCACAACAAGTGGGCCTGAGCAACAGGAAGCAGAGCCCTATCAGGAATACTGGGATTATCTTCGACATTCCCTATGAGAGACAGAAGACAGAAATGGTTAAAATTGTAAATCCCAATGATCTTTAGGTATTATAGCTCATATGTCTTGCCTATCATATCATAATTACATCTTGCCCATGGACACATCAGGCATGTGTCTGCAGAAGCTTGGGATCTAACCCCTGGCCTTCTGGTTGAGAAACGACCATCTCTTCCATTGAGCCACCATTAAAGTAGTTGACACAGGCCAAATTACATCGCACAAATGTGCAACAAATTTGGAAATGATGTAAACTCTGAAACACACCCAAAAATCCCAAAACAAAGGCAAACACACAATACCTACAAAACATAGCTAAACAGATATACTTATTTATATTTTACTATTTTATAAGCATCACCAACTGGTACCAGGCAATAAACCTTGTGTGACAAACATTTGATTAACATGTAGTTTACACATGATTTACAGGTATATCATTCATAATTATAATGCATGTTTTCTATCTCCAGGTAGGAATGCAGAAAGTGATTTTACCTTTTCCTCCTTCATGCAAAGTCTAATCCACAGTCACATTCAGAGGACTGTCAGAGGTTTGATGTCTTACTAAAAGACCAGTGTCCAGTTGTGAATGAACAACATAAAAGTCGTCTGACCAAAAAGCCTTGTACAAATAACCACAAAAGAACTGACAAAAAAAACCCAACCATACGTATCTCAATCTAAGAAAAGTTCTACTACAGTATTTGGACTAAGAACTAAAAATAGACCTACTTCAGCGCTTACTCACACTGCCGCCTCAACAGCAGATTTTATTTAAACAACAGAAACATCAAGTCAAGTTCATTTCTACATCTTTAGCTTTATCAGCAGTTTTATATTGTACTTGTTCCGAAGGCTCAATTGTGGCAGATAAAGAGGGGCGAATTACACATATTGCATAATTTATATATGAAAAACAAGCTTCTTACACTCAGTTATCAAGTTATCTCCCACAATGAAATCCTGAAAGCTCAAAAACATCTGGTGTATTCTGCCTGTCCTCAGTTAACCACCACTCTCTTATCTCTTGTTGACTGTTGCCTAACTCCAACAGGCCAAGATCAATGTTTGATACAGGTTTTGCAATGCACAATTCTTCAATTAAAAGGTTAATGCAATGCCTCACCTGGTTGGTGTACATCCAGAAGTTTGGCTTTTGCTCCAGAGCTTGAGTGAGCCAGGACGGTATGTGGTATGTGAGTTTCCACAAGGCTTTTACACAGACCCTACTCTAACAGTCCAAAGTCCAGTATATACAGGTTTTGCATTTGGGACAAAGGTCAATGTGAAAAGCTCTTCATGAACATGGTCTAGTACAGATCAAGCATTGAGTAATTACTTGAGTTGCATTACATTAAGAGCATTAGGGTTCAAGTCCCAAAGGAGCACAACCTTATTAGGATGGTTTATGAGAATGTTTTGTTTTTGTCTCAAGCTATTAGCTGAGTTTGCGAAGAGCTAGAAAGATTACATTTTCCACAGCTGGAGGATTTTGATCCCGATTGGGCCAGTGGTGGAGCTATAATCAATTATCTAAATTGTGAAGTTTGGAAGGCCAACAAATTAACCCTTGAATTTGATAGACCAAAAAATTGACACATATGCAGCTGAACTGCTGTTGCAAAAAACCTCTTTGAGCATTAAACCCTGTACCTCAATGCAGGATTATTGGTCCAGACCAGTCCAAAACCATGAAACCAATCAGAGACAAGGAGATCATCTAGAGTTGTTTCTGGAAAACAAAATGTATGCATTGTCTCTGCAACAAACCTGGTTTAATTAAACCGATTGAAAAATGCTAAATCTATAAAATGGTTTTATTTTACAGCCAGTGTAGCATCCTCCTCCATTCTCTTTTGTAGTTTAAATGAGTGACGTGGGGCATGGAACGTCCCCTTGATTAGCGGATCATTTGGCCTAAATTCATTCATTCTTTCGGCCAAAGACTTTTTACCAATGACAAAACTGTAGTATAACAGAGTAAAGCCCCTATGTATACATACTGTATATATACACACATATATTGTCTTCTTTATTTATATTTGGCTTCACAACAGAAACATCCCCTTGTATATTGCTGTGCAATCCAACATCCACAAACTGCAGCATTAAATTAGCACTAAGTCGATCGACACCTCGTTATAATAATCGTAAAAAACAACTTAGGAAAGATTGAATGCAGGATTTTCATAAAAGACAGCCTCTTATCTCTGTTAGTGATGCAACATTTACGACCCACATGTTCTGATCTGTAATCAGTTACTCAGTGACATTCCTCAGGCAGCCTTACAACAGTTTACAAAGAAGTCTAAGTACCCCTCACCCTTTTACTGTTAAAAAAAGCATTTTGATCTTGAAGTCTTGATGAAGCTTCAGAGGACTGTGATGACATTTTTGTGAATAATGATGATGTTTTATTTTCCCACATTCACGAGGGTAATAGGACTCATCCTTGTTTTGATTTCTCTTGCTATTTGGCACCAGGAGCAGGGCCCGCAGCAGCAGGCGTACACACAGTCCTTGAAAACCGTACCCTGTGAAGAGAGACACAGTTAGGCATCATCTTATTTTTACAGTCATTAATTAATGTGTGACCTTACAAAGGAACATAGTGCACTCTAAATGTGACGTTGGAAACACAATGTTGAGAACATGACGAGACTAATCAGAGATCACAGATACGTTTGTGTTGACTTCTATGCAGGTAAGCACTGATGCAGTTGAGGCCCACTTAATTTATTATCGTGAAAAGGATAGCATTTTGTCCATACCTCAATGCCATAGCGTTGGCGCACTGAAACCCTGAGGGCTGTATTGATGGGTGGTATGAGTCCACAAGCGTCAAGCAGAGGTAAACACAGACACTCTCCGGCCTCATGTGCCGTCTTACAGGCGAAGCAGGGAGAACACCAACAGGAAAGGCAACCTGAAAAAAACAGTAGCAGGAGTGAGCTTAACGTCGAATAAATATGCAACAGTCTGAAAGGTCAAAATCAAAGGAAACAACAGAATAGACTGTGTGCTGTAAAAGGAGAAGATGCTGTCTATTCAATTTACAAGTTAACAGATGTGGAGGTGCCTTAAGTCTGCATCTTTTCACATCACATATTGCCAATTTGACCTCTAAACTTAAGGTGAAGTTGGGATTTTATTATAGAAATAAATCCAGCTTTTCCCTCAGAGCAAGGAAACTTTTGGTTTCATCAACCCTCCTTCCTTTGTTGGATTATGGAGATGTACTGTACATGGGTGCCTCGGCCAAATGTTTACAGTCATTGGACACCGTGTATCACTGTGCGTTGAGATTTGTTACTGGTTGTAGACGCTTCACTCATCACTGTGACCTGTACACTAACTCAGATTGGCCATCTTTGAAGGTTCGCAGGCATGTACACTGGCTGAAGTTTATTTATAAAGCTCTTCTTAGTTTGGTGCCTTCTTATTTATGTTCAGACCTTCAAAGAACCAGAAGCCACTATGCCTTGCGTTCCTGTGATGTCTTTAAACTGTCTGTGCCTCGTGTCCGCACGGAGCTCGGGAAAAGAGCGTTTAGTTTTGCTGCTCCCACCGCATGGAACTTTCTCCAAAATGACTTGAAAATGGCGGAGCTCATTTCGCTTGAAACCTTTGGCTCGATCTTAAAATATAAAATACGCGAGACAATTGGACAGTGCCTGTGTTTCTGAATTGTAATCCTTGATCAAGATTCTGCACTGTATCTGTAAATCAATTTGCACATTGTAAATTGTTGTTCTCTCCTAACTTATTGTCTCTTTATCATGTAATGCTTTTTATGACGTGTGCTGCTGCCCTCTTGATCAGGTCACCCTTGTGAAAGAGATCCTGATCTCAATGGGTTATTTTACCTGGTTAAATAAAGGTTAAATAAAAAAATAATCATAATCCTTTCTAATGCCCTTCAGAAAGGAAGCAGGCTGCAGGATCCTTGTCTAATTGGACAACACGACTGGTTCCAAAATAGAACATATGCAAGTCTACAAAATCTGTTTGTTTAAATCTTCTTCTATACTGTTATGATGTTCATTTGGCTGATTATGGTCACAGAGTAAACATATGGTGGATTATACTTTATGTTGTTGATACAGGATATCTACACTCGTGTCCAAGAACAGATAAACTCCGCAGAGAGGTCGTTCAAAAGTCGAAGGGCCCAGATGAAATATTGTCACTGTAAACTCACACTGGGGAAGGTCTTGAAGACAGTCACAGATGCCAGACGTCCATTGGTTGGAAACAGAGTCCATGATGAAGGGCCTTGGTTGTGTCACAACCATCTTCACAGACATGGCTTTGGCTTCTGACAGAAAACATAGATCACAGTAACTGTTGCAAAGAAACTTTGCTTTGTGTTGAAACTTGGTGGGTTTAACATATAGGCGAAGACGTTTCTTGTCAAAAATATTTGTACTGTGTGTTACATATATTCTTTGTCTGAAGTAAAAGGAAGCATCCTTAGAAGGACCCAGCCTGTGTACCCTGTGTAGACTGCTCAGGTCATGCTGAAATTACACAATCCTGTCTACGGAGGATATCCTGTTTTCATCACCAGCTGTTCCTGCCCTTACCCAATGGTTACCAAAGAATGCCCCGGTTGCCTAGCAACCTCAAAAGCTGCTTCAGAACTACCTGACATAACCATCCATTTTCTTTTACCACTTTTTCCAGTTTGGGGTCTGTGGAGGGGGGGGGGGCTGATATATAGAGACACTGCCATAACCAATATTACATGATTAAATTATTGTATTATTGTAAAGATAATTTAAAGTTTCAAGGCCCCTTTCATTTTTAACATGAGTACTGCTAGCTTTTTGACTGAGTTTATACCAGTTAGTTAAAATTTAAAAAGAAGTTGTCGCTTCAAAGTCTACCTCTTTGTGTAAATTGGTGCACAATGAATCTCAGGATATGTAAGACCTTGAACATTTAACTAGATGAAGTCCCTGCTATAGTCAGTGACAGCTGGTGCAGTGTTTTCCAGAATGGGAACAATTTAACATAAATAGACCGTGATGCATATCTTAGTTAGTTAGCTTGATGCTAACACTTACTGGGAAATGCAGTGAACTGGGTAGCAGAATTAGCATCATGATAATTTTAATTTACGTTTCGATCTATTTTATCTCACAAACAAAACCACAGGCCCTCGTACTGACAGGCCCAAACACAAAAAAATCACAGCTGACTCACTCTAGCCTGGTCTGCTGCTCTGATCTATCTATGCTCTGATCCAGTGCCACTGCACAACTCGCTCTTTATGTCTCAGTTAATGGGACGTATCCTCTGCTGCCTCCATTTGGGTGGCTGAGTGTAATGCGTCCATGCACTCATTTTTTCCTGCACTCCTCGAAGATCCTATCTCCTTTCTCAATATCTCTCTAACTTCCTAAAATAAAATATCATTTTTGATATGTAAATTGATATATAAAGTAGCTCTCTCTTGGGGCACCGGTGCCCTAATGGTTATTTTGTACCCAATGTGCAAAGGCGCAAAATAACCACTAGGTTACTAGGAACGTGGTCCGTCCTTGAATCTAACCTGTGTCTCCTTTCCCGCATGTCATCCCCCACTCTCCCTGATTTCCAGCACTATTCACTGCCCTGTCTCTCCAATAAAGGCATACAAAGCCCCCCCCCCCAAAAAAAAGTAACTGTCCCTTGGAAAAATACAACCCTTAAGCATAAAATCACAATCATGAGCTCTGTCCTACAGCAGATTTGCATGTTCGCAATATTTCAATGAATCTTGCATAATTGCAAGTTTCTCTCATGTCCTACCTGTTTTTGTGTTTTGAGGAAGAAGGATCAGCTACGAATGGATTTGTAGAACAACGATGGATCTTATAGACTATCTGCAGAGAAGTGAACGGATGCTTGTCACTGACTCGTCCATCCAGTCTGACTTGTGTCAGACATCACATCAGACGTCAGTCGGACATCCCTCTTTAAATGTGTGTTATGGTGAGACGCACGTTTGAAGAGTACAATTGTTTGGAGACATATGTGTGTGATAAGAACTTAAAAGAATGTATGACGCTTACTCTACAGTAACATACTGTATGTCCCAAGGCCTTCGTTTGATTGCATTCACTGAGATTCTGTATTTTCACAATGTTGCTTTTAGACTCACAGCAACTTTTGATATTTTATTGCAACCATTCAACTCAAAATATTTGGATTTTAAAACAATTCTGGTAAACATAAAGAAAGTAAGAATAATAAAATATGTTACAGTGAATATTTCTGACTTGATATTGCAGTATAAAATATTGCATTTGCAAAATTCTGACAAATGTCAAATAGTTTGGTTGCACTTTAAGGTAAAACGTTCTTTAGTTGTAGCAAATGTATAATCTGATGCTCTTTTAATATTGTGCAAAAAAGTTCAAATCCATCAATTTCGATACATGTACAGTATGCAAAAGTTTTAAATTTCATATCGTGTCTGCCAACAAACTGGCAACTTACTTGATCCCTTCTTCTTTTTTTACCACCTCCAACATGATGAACTTAAAAGACTAAAGAAAAGATAGAAAACAATTTAATTGATAAAGCATAATTCCTTACACATTTTAACCATGTTGCACATTTGATTTGAGAGAAAAACACAGTTTACAGTATCAGCTAAGCCTAAAGTCTAACCCCGTATCATCTCCATGCACACAATTTTCAACTAGAGTCTGCAATAACATTTAAAAATGTCTTGGTGAAGAACTTTTTAGACACAGTTTAGAGAAATTCTTCATTTTTGTTTAAATTGTCGTGACATGCCTGCAAAGCAATCTGTAAATCAAATGCACTGACAGTAAAGACAACAATCTGGTACGTGCAGATGCCACAGGTATTTCAAAAGTCTAGTCAGCCATCCCATCAGGACTGAATGAAATGATCGGCTGGCTTATCTGCCTGTCTACTCAGACTTGTCTGAATGTGCACACTCATACCATGTTAAACCAGCTTTAACTAATGAGCTAGATGTATCAGAATGGAAGAGACAGGTAGCAGGTTAGGTTATTAACAATTTCCCTTTTCATAGTGCAATTCTGCTACAAGGCCATAACGAATCTCTACCGTCAATACGGCTTAGAGAGGCTTCCAACTGTCATTGCAAAATTTGCAAATATTAGGCTGCTGCTTTGGTTTAAATTAGGGAGCCCTCAGGGGCCCTCTTCTGGTCTGAGGCCCCAAGCAGTTGCCTGCCTTGCCTGTTGACAAGCAGCGCCTCTGTGTCCGCCTGGTCCTGTTTTGTCCCTCTGGTCCAGTCCTGGTTGTCTTGTCCTCGTCCATCTGGTCGTCTCTCGTCTGTTTGGTCATGTTTGTCTGGTCTGGCCGACTTTCTTTGTTTGGTTTGTCTTACAAATGTCTTTACTTTTGACCGGGGGATGGTACCCCTCAAAGAGGAGCCGTGAATTGAAAGAGTAAAAATGATGTGACCCACCTTCTTGTAAATGTAAAGCAGCAAAAGTATACAGGAGTACAAAACGAGCATGGATCGGTGTAACACTGACGGCTGTGGGTACACTTTTAACCATGTGTTTTTAAGTTTTTGAATGTACATATTTTTAGACTTTTATCAAACTTCTTTCACTTTATCTGGGGTCAAACTGATCTTTGGCGAGCATTGTGTTAACAATGGTAACAGGGAGTGTCTGTAGGCCAGAGGAAGTGTGATTAAATCAACTCCTTTACTCTGGAGGGAAAGCTGCAGCACAGGCCAGAGAAGAAAAGGAGCGCTGCATGTACTTTATCTAGACCAAGTGCGCCCCCTGCAGGGAGGTCAGAGCAGTGTATCTGGCTGAGGAAGAGGAGGCGGCGTGGGATGCTGCCCTTCTCTTCAGCTCTCTGGAGATCTGGAGCCAAGAAAGCGGATAGCAGCAGCATCCGTACAAGCAGTCGCTCCACACACTCCCCTGTAAGACACAGAGAGAGAGAGAGAGAGAGAGAGAAGCCTGAGCACAGGTGGGAGGCTCGAAACAAAAGATGAACATTTGCATTTAGGTTTGAAAAAAAAAGGCACGTTTTCTGATGTATACAATGCAGCAGTTTTCTTTTCTTTTCTCCTTGCACTCTTGTTTGAGCTTAAATTTAAATCACTTTAGATTAACTGTATTACCTGAGGTAAGTTAGGATACAATTCAAAATTTGCTGAAGTTTTGCTAGAATCATTTTTATTCAGATGTCAGACAAACAACTGTTTCTAAAGATTGGGATACCCAACTTCAATTTTCAAAAAAGTCCAGGAAAGTAAAAACTCAATATAGACAAAGCAGTTGCTTGAAGTAAATAAATAACAGCGTTATTGTCAGGGTAACAGTAAAAAGTGTGTTCATCTGACTCTGTATAAGTACATATGAGAGTTTCTCTGCTTTAGGAACAGCAGCCAGGATACAGAGGTCTTCAGTAATGTTGAGATGGAAACATCGGTGGGTGAGTTTTAATAAATCAATAGTCTGAGAACGACAGAGAGAGGTCAGATTCTAGTTGTTCTATCTGCAGTATGAGCATATGATCCCGTCTCCGTGATACTGAGTCAGCAACGCAACTAAGATATGAGAAGTTTCTGTCAGCTTTGATTGATGACTGGTACTTCTAACTTTGTCACAGTCAAGAACCCAAAATAAATCAGCCTTTGATTTTGGCTTAATAAGAATGATCAACAACAATAATCTACATATTATTTGTTGCACTACAAATCATGCAGTTTCATACTGAATTCACTGCTCACTGTCCACCTTCAGTTTAGAGTTTTAATTCAATTCTTTGATTCTGACACAAATGTGTTATGTGTGGGAAAAAGTATTGCACGTTTGAGGGTTTACACACTTTTCTTTCTTGAGCAGCTCAGCACTACACTAATGTAGCAAACACTACAATAATGTTTGCTTTGTAAAACATATAAAAGGCTGTTTCTTCAGTGTGCTGTGAAAATCTCATCTGACATTCACCCATGAGCTCTATCCTAATTAATTTAGTTTAGAAAGTCCAATATTAAAAAATAAATACATCCTAATCTTTTACTGGCTGAGATAAAAGGTTTTTTGGGGGGGCTGTCATGAAATGTGCATTATTTTGTCAAAACATTTATAATATTTTTTTCAACACCAGGCTTTAGCCATGCTAGCAGCTCTTGGAGGCACATTGATGCTTTCAGCTAAATGCTGATGTCAGCATGCTAATGGACAAAAATTATGCTAACATGCTGATAGGCATGTAAACTGTAGTTATTGGATGTTAGCATGCTAGCTTTGGCTAGTAGCACTTACCAAATCACCAAAGGCTGATCCAAAAATACATACACATTTCCTGTCTCTCTACATGTGTCAAAGAGAGGCCCAAAATTCCCCGACCCCAAAATATGAGCTAGCAGTAAGGTCTCACCCCATTAACTGAATTCCCCCCTTTACTAGTATTTCTGATTCCGATGTACAGTAGCCGCAGATCAGGTTCAAGACCAAACTATGGCTCCTCTCCCGCTTCTTCTATGTATCAATTACGTTTTTAATTATTCTGAGTTGTGATCAATCGACAAAAAGCCTTGAGCCGTGACATTATGGCTGATAAAACTAAACCCAATATCAACTTCTTAAAGTGGAGCCATGGTACGAATTTATGATGTAACTATTCTAAATAAAAAATCTCTACTTAAAGCTTCTGTGAGGAGTTTTTAAGTGTATGTAAAAAAGACTGAAATTCATACTGATAAGACCTACAAAAGCAGACCTGACCATCAGAGACAAGATTGACTACTTCTATATGGTAATTGTACGTGTCTAAAACTAGTGCTGGGGGTAGGTAAGAGACGAAGACTCAACAAAACGCTTCAGGAACAGCCTTTGTTTGCAGTTTTTACAGCAAATAATTACAGTGAGATTTGCAATTGACACAATATTAAAATTTTCATCTAAAAAACAATTCTTACAGAGGTACAGGAAAAGATCAGCCTAGTAATATGAAGTATCACTTTAACCCTAACCCAAGAACTTAGAAGTTGTGAAAAGAGATGTTCAGGAATTTGCATCAGCTTTAGAGCAATCTGCCTGCACGGTGTCATTCTCACGTTACACACTTTTTCAGCACTGTCTCCTCTTCCATCCATAATTGCTTTGCTTTGCAAACAGCCTACATGCTTGGACTTGTTTTCACAAGAACTATTGGCACCTTTCTCACTCCTGCTCTGCAGTATTGACAGCGATCCACTGCCCACTCCACCTACAGAGAAGCCAACATTACCAACCACCTCCTTCTCTCCGATGGCAGCTCTCCAGCCTGTCCTCCAACCACTCCCACCTCTTGCCTTATCTCTCCTCGTCTTCACTGTCCCAGAAAGGATTGGCTTGGCTTAGCATTCATCAAACTCACTCACTTGGCAGCCCGGTATTTGCCGTTTGCATGACAAACATCTGTTTTGTGTTGGTTGTGTACACTCGTCAGTGTCGTGGACCTGATGTCTGTTGAGATCTGTGGTCATGCAGGCAGATATTTGAGTATTAACTAAGTGTGAAAAAAACAGCACCTGAGTAAACGAGTAGGTGGGAAGTCTTAGCAGCTTGCTGTGTATTAAAGGCAGTGATAGTTTCTTGTTTATTCATTAAGTTATGTGTGACTGTAGTAAAGATTTGTATTGCCCTGATTTCACTGCATCACTATCTGCATTTTAATAAGATTGATCTGATGTTGCGTTGCTGAAGTAATAACCAGCGTCATTAAGCACCTCTCCTTGATGTTGCAGCTTTTTCTCCTGTGTGCTGTTATTGTGTTCCATCACTCCATTTCCTGAGCAGTAATTGTAATCTTTCAAAGCTCCTGCAGCTCTGTGTTATTGAGCTGGGGACAGTGTGGCACCAGTGTAAGCAATCTGAACGTTTGTTTTTTTTATCACACCTTCATGACTACAGGGGCCACTTTGCTCGGCTGATACAATACAATCACATCTTTAGCTCTCAAACAACACCACCACTTTAACTAGGAAAATCAACATATTCTTAGACATATTCTGTCAGATCAAAAACAAAATAAATGCCATGAATGCATTCAGGAAGAAGCAACAAAAACCAAAAGTCAGTGTCAGAGCTATTAAACCGTTTACTACGATTGCAGTTTTCTTCTTATTGGCCAAAAGCTTCCCTGAAATTGGCTTCACATGTTTTACAGTAAATGATATTGGATGGGTCCAAAGTTGGCTACATTTTACTCATATGGGCTCTATGTGGAGCCCATCAACATTTACTGTACCAGGGCCAACTAATGTGGGGCCCCCATCGACATTCTGGTCATTGATTGGACTTAAGTTGGGTATCCCAGATGGGCCTAGGTGCAACTCATTTTGAGCCAACTTGGATGTTTGGCTGTCATTGGCAGTAATACTCCTCATTGGAAACAATGGAAGTCAATGGTGAACAAACCACATCTATTGAGCTCTCACTGTCAGCAGGACACATTTTAGGCTTAACTTAGGCTATAAATGCTGTGGTGTTTGGCATGGATGTACATCATAAACCTGTCCCTCTACAAAGAAACGTTGATAAACTAAGATGTGTAAATTCCCCCCAAATTACATGAAACACAAAGTCAGGTAACAAAAGAAAATCTCAATCCAACACTTCCAATTCCAGTTTGATCAAAATTTGGACAAAATTTGAAAACAAAAGTCCACCCTCTGGACTGAAGACTAAGCCCTTACTAAATCAGCACACCATCAGCACACCATCAGCACATCACTTCTATGTGTGAGACTGCATGACTACATGAGCTGCTGTCAAAGAACCCCTGAACATACAAGTAAAAATGATGAGTGTGGATGGACAGATACCTCACACAGCAGCCTTTATTGGGGTGTAGATTGGTTTTAAACTCTGCAATGTGCTTACCTTTAGAAAACACACTTAATCACCATTAATGATACATTAAATCAGAAAATATGGCTGAAGTTTGATGCCTCCAATCCATCCAATACATTTCAGTGACTTGGAAAATCTAGACCAAGGAGTCTTGGGGGACTTGTGCAGGAACTACCCCTTCCTAAACCCTCCCTAACCAATGGAGCTTTTTGAATCTCAAGTGTGTTGATCAAAACTTGGATCTAATATCTTATCTTATAAAAAAAATGATCCCAAAACTATGACTTGGCAAAAAGTTGAGAACATAAAAACAAATGGCTATTTATGGAATTTCAACTGGAAACTTTGTGTCTGAGCTGTGTTCACCTTTATGCCGTATCGTTCTCTTACAGATGCCCTCATGGCGAGAGAGGCCGGAGGAACACAGCCTATACAGTCCAGCAGAGGCAGGCAGGGACATGCACCCACATCATGGGTCACCTTACAGGTGAACACTGGGAGGCAGCACAGAGCAAAGCAGCCTGCAAACACACAACCAGACACACACAGCAGATCAACCTCAGCACACATCAACATGACTGTCAGTGGCAAAGTCTCTCAGACTGATTTTAAAGTTCATCATATTAAAAAAAGTTTCTCAATACTTACAGTCTCCCACATCTTTATAGCACTCACACAGGCCAGTGCTCCACTGACCTGCATCCTGAACCCTGCTCTCCGGCTGGACCTGGACCACCTGTTTGGACATAGCCGAGCTGGATAAGGTCGGACAAAAAGCTAGATTAGTACCACATACAACATAAAGTGTCATAAAGAGAAGATATGGGACATGGTTACACCAAGTTGCAACATCTGGTGGCAACAGTTTTTAGTCTCTATACTTTGTTTCTTTATTTGTGAAAATGGTATAGGAGGTGTATCTTTTTCATTAACTTTTATTATTTTAAGGGCAGGACTGATGCATGCAGTTGCAGGGGCTGATCTTACTGACAGGTGGGCGTGTTGAAGCTGTTTTCCAGTAGGCTAAAGGCCTGCCTAAGTTTCACCTCTACTACTGTCAGAGGTGCTGCTTGTCAATAGGCAAGGCAGGCAACTGCTTGTGGCCCAAGGCCAGTATGGACAGTAGGAAACCTCCTTATCTGACAGCATTCACTCTAGTTGAGCTGCTTAATGTTGCATGCATTAATTCTGTTGAAATCAAAGTGGACAATGAAAGTCATTGAAGGGAAATGAAGTGGAATCATCTATCGGGGAGTGAAAACAGAAAGAGGAGTAAGCATCAGGACACGTTGGTTGGAGGGTCCCCCAATACATTTTTTCCTAGGGTCCTTATGGAGTCTAGAATCCCCACTGATGACTGTTACTGGAAAGATCAAAAGTTGTGTAAAGATAGAATTGCCAATGGGGACCACCAATGCTTCAAAACAGCAGTTCAGCTACTAGTTGGTGATGTCAATGAGACTACGTCCATGTTGGATACAGTCTATGTGTTACACTGGGGTTTGGATCAAAATAATGAATTTCCAATCAACAAATACAAACTTTTTTTTCTGTGTAACCAGTCTGGCCTCGGTCACATGTGCTAATCTTATCCTTTTGCTTCATCCTATAAAGCTAAAAATCTAAGCCAGATCTTTTAACCGTCCTGTTTTACATTCAGAGCAATGTCAGAAACTGTAAGTTTTAATGTGATCTTTCTAAATGTTCAGTTAATAAAATATAAGCCTGTTAGAAAACAATCAAGCTAACATGAAAATGATCTGTTTTTTGTGTCAAGGAATTGGTCTTTGTCCTTTATTTAAATATAATGTAATAGTGCCATAATAATGATTTAAAAAACATGATGGGCTCTGTAGTAATGTGTGATTCCTCCAAACGTATTTGGCAAAACAGAAAATTGAGGGCGATTGGCGAGTCTTCTGAAGTGCAAATTTGAATGCCAATGCAACTCTGAATTTCTACTTTCCCAGTCTCACAACTCTACAGATAAGCATCTCTTAAAACAAAGCATCATATGCTGTACCTGTGGCTGATATTCCTGTCTATAACCAAAGCCCACTTCCACCACTATCTGAGTGAAAAGATAAGCTCAACAAACCAGTGAGCTGCTGGCTGAGAACAAAAGGTCTACGCCCCACTCTTACTGAAGATTAAACACGGCTGTCTCCGGACCTGAGTTATTCTTTAGCTCGGCTCCTCTTGACACATACCAAACTCTGAGGAGAGAAAAGATTCCACCAGGGCTTTCTCTTTTTCTGGTACACGCATGGCTCAGAGCCAGACTCTGTGGAATGATTTACCTTTCACCTTTCTCGGCAGAGTCAAAGTATAACTGAAAATATCTAACCAGGCTTGCTGTGATGGAGAATACAGGACTTACCTGTCGATGTTCCACTCTTTAAATCCCAAGAAAACCAAGAACTGGACACAGATTTGTTATGTAGTGTGTTTGACTTTTTCCTTTCTTTACTTTGACTCTCACATGGTTGCATGACTGCAGTGTTTTGGTGTAAATATGAAACACAACCCTCTGCTGACCTGCAGTGTTTTGACAGTTTACTTAGAGATCTCAGTGACAGATAAGTTTTTGCCTTCACATAATTTCAGTCAACCTGGCTTTATATTGTTAGCTCTCGGTGTTAAGGTATATTCCACTTAATCAGGAATTACCCTGCAGGTGTGTCACCAGGAATTCCTGGCCTCATGAAAAGATAACATACCGTGCCCCACCACCACACGCTCAAACCAAACCTGCAGAAATGCTATAACCACACCTTATGCAACTGACCCATAAAAGGTTAAATACATGTGTTAAACCTCAGAATTCAGTATAACCATGAAAGACAAAGTGTGATATTTCCTCAACAACATCTGCAGTCACATTTATTTTTACAAACAAAAAACATTTTACACATCTGCAGTCAGACTGTTCAACAGTACTACAACCTGACTCTAACAATGTTCACAATCAGTAATTCTACACACTGTGTGTGTTTTTTTTTAATAAGAACTGTCCTCTGTCTTTCCACAAGTGAAAGTGTTTATAGTATATGCCTAGTATTATTTTATCTCTATTGTAATTTCTTGCTTTATTTAATTAATGTAAATATGTTTGTTTTTTAACTTTTTGCTATTTTTTACTAATTATACTACTGTTTTTGATCTGTTGTAACAAAGAAATGTCTCCCAATGGGGGATCAATAAAGTTTATCTTTATCTTTAAATGGCATAGTGAACTTATTCGGTTGACAAAACGACTTAAAAATGTGTAGGACGAAAATATAAACTCAATTTCAGTTCAAATGAAACTATGTAATATATGAAATCATATAAACATTTGGCATTAAGCTAATTTTATTCCTAAGATTTTTGAATTAAGAAAGAGTTAAGAATGATGTTAATGAATTCAACTATTTTAAACCAACCAATGATGCAAAAACATATTCTTTTTTTCAGGCTCATCCAGAGCCCCTTCCTCCACTGGGACCCTGCGAGTCAGTACCAAACTCAACCCAACCCAACCCAACCTCAACGCCCACCACACCCTTTTATTCTTCTTTTACCAGGGTGACAGCTACGGACACCCATGCCACTTCAGTAGAAAGAAGAATGAAAGTTACACCCCTGGACTTAATACAACATGTCATCACAGAGAACTTGTTTTTATGTATCACTTAGGGTAAACATTGGAAAGGCCTAACACTGTGATGTAAATGTGAGCTGTGCTGTTGATCTGCTTCTTAGAGTTTCACCACTTTAAATTGCACCACAACTTCTAGAGACTGATTTACTGTATATGAACAGTGAAGCGTAAAAAAACGCTGATTCTCTGATAACTGATGTCTGATTATCCTGATTGAGGTGAACTAAACTGGAAAGTCCTACTGGAGTGAATCCTGCCCCTCTAAAGCAGATCCTGCCTCCTCTTCCATGAGGGCTGCAGCTGACACAGATGATCGTACACAGGATTAGCAAAGGTCACATTTATGCTAGGTATGGTATCACATCCAGCCAAATATGTACAAACAGTCAACCCTTTTCTTCAATATACAGTAGTTAATGTTCAGCTTTTATCTATATTGAAGATACAACTTTTTAAAGGGCTAACAATCTTTATTCAGCTAGACTTCACAATCAGAAAAAATATGGCTGAACACTGAATGTCATGTCCTCACATGTATTGTAATTAGTTTCACAATCGTTTAAGTTAATTCTTGAGGCAACATTTCAACATTTGGGGAAACATTTTCTCAGAGTAAAATGAGAAAGATACATTTATACTGGGTTTACATCTGTACAAGCTAGCAGTGTGTTAGCTAAGTATAGCTAAAGACAGAAGGGTAAAGATTATTAGCTTCTGACATTGTGCAGTTTTTTCTTTCGACATGACATATAAAATAGATGAACTTTGGTAGACTGTAGCAGTCTAAAGCAGTCTTGTTAATCTTTGAGCTAAGCTAACCTGCTGCTAGCTGTGGATTAGGGATGTCAGCATTAATGCTTAGATCGTGATGCATTTAAATTCAGAAATTAATGCATTAAATTTTGTTTTAATCACTTTAGGCCGACCGTATGAAAGCCATCACAACGTCTCCCTGTGTGCGAGTACTTTACTTGTGGTTTGATTTCAACCCTGCTTTTATAAATTTTAAATAAGGACCTTCTGGTAGATTGAGGGGTATTACATTAACTTAGCTGAAAAATTAACTCATTAAAGATCACAAACTAAAGTCAAAACGTTAAAAGGAACAGTAAAAAAGTGAAATGTTTTAAGTCATAAGGTGAATATTACTTTTGACTCGTCAGCTGAGCTATCTGGGAGTTTTTTTTAAATGAATGAGACATTCAAAGACGCGGCAGTGTCATTCTTTACCATCACTGTGACTACACGGAGACACTGTGGAGTCTTATCTACGGTGCGCCTAAAGGAACAAAATAGCATGGTATAAAAAAAATAATGCTGTAATCTCAGACCTCAATTAATCCAGATTAACTAGTTAATGCTGAAAGCCCTACTTAAAACAGTACAACAATTCAAAATAAAAGCACAACAAAAACAGTTTTGAAATGGGAAAAAAAAAAAAATTCAAACATGCGAGTAATCAAGATTTACAATTGAAATTAAACGATTAATTATAATGAAAGATTATCGTTTGACAGCCCTACTATAGATTAATTACTGTACAGACATTAGTGCTATCAATCTTTTGTAACTATCAGCGTAAAGTGAGTCTATTTACCAAAATATCAAACTAATGCCAAGCTTCTTTTACAGTCTATGATTCAAACATTCATGAACAAAAGCCATCTCTCTGTTTAAAGAAAGTCATTCTTTATCACTTATGAAAAGCTTTCTAAATTTAAATGCACGTTTTTATGTGTGTATAGATGATGGGATGCTGTGGTGTCCTGCAGAGATGTGCTGATTTAACCCCACATGATGTGCAGTGAAAGGATGCAGAATGAGCTACCTATGAGCATCCTTTAAAGTGGGGTGCTGAGAAATGATGATTTGCAGGCAGCTTGAAACTCTGGAAACTCTACAGAAAAATAGAAAAATGGCAGCAAAGTAAACATTTTCACAGATTACTGACAGAAAAAAAAGAGAAAAAAAACCCATCACCCACCCACATATAGTGCCCGTTTACTCACTGCAGAAGCATTTAACACGATCCTGTATCTCAACATATTTTGCACGAAAGAGAGGAGAGCGACACCGTATTTTCCCACTTGGAAAAACTGCAAAGAGAACAGAGACCTTTATAAAACACATCAAACCAAAACTGTCACCAGAACCTATTTTTACATTGTTTCTTTGTCTGCTTTACTGACAAACTGTATTCTTAGTGTTTGCCAAAAAAAAAGGCCTCAACCAATGCTCTCCTGCCAATAGAAGACTTCAATAACGTTTCATAACTGAACAGATGATGATTCAGCACTTTTTCC